AATACCCAGTGCTACAAGTCAGTTGACTCAGTGCCTGATCAAACCCAAGTGGTCAACTATCTCCCAGAGTTTCTGAATTAACTTGAACCTCCAGGAGTCCCACCACATTGTCTCAGTCTAAAAGTAGGAGCACCAATCATGGTACTCTGAAATTTGGATCCACCATGTCTGTGCAATGGAACAAGACTGGCACTAAAGAAGCTTATGCCCCATGTTATTGAAGCTACAATACTTTCTGGATGTGGCAAGGGTAAAGATGTTTCCTATTCGCTTAAGCTTTTCCATGTCCATCAACAAATCGCAAGGTCAGACACTGAAGGTAACTGGGTTGGAGTTGGAAGTGCCCTGCTTCTCTAATGGACAGCTCTATGTTAAAATCATAAATAATATTCAACATTAAATTGGTACAAAATTAAAAACATTTTATTTAGGCCTATCTATGGCCTTCAAAAAGTTGACGACTACATGTTTCGACCATAGATAGGCCTAAATAAATGTTTTTAATTGTGTACCAGTTTAACATTGAATATTATTTATGATTTTAACTTTATACACAAGTGCCAAAATACTATAACTAGCTCTATCTTGGTTGTTCACATGTTGGAAGCCCAAAAAAACTTCATGCAAATGCTCCATATGGTAAAACTAAGAACATTGTTTATCATGAAGCCTTAACTGACTATATTTTCATGATATCCTCAGCTGACTATGTTTTCGACAAAAGTCAAGTTTCTTTGAATTGTGTATCTCTCTTCCAAAGAAAATAAATATTTTGTCTAAAAGAATTATAATTCGGGCACAATTACCATGAAGCTTTTTTAGTTATTTTCCTCTTAATCAAGTGGTCACCAAACCGAGTGCTTCAGTCCCCGGCCAACACCGGGTATCGTGCTAGTATTTTATAAAATACAGTCACTTTTCAATTATTATAAATTATATATGTATATAATTATTGCTATTTTGAAATAAGTTCTTAAAGTTGTTTTTCCTAAAACATAGAACAGTAACTGAAGAAGTAAAGCAAACAATTATCTCTTCTAGTTACGACCTTTGTACTCAGTTGCTAAACCTTTAAAAAACTTTTGCACATTAGAGGATATGAAACAA